CCAACTATTGGTGTTGTATTTTGTGTAGCTTTCATAATCGTCCTCAGTGGAAGTTGTAACGCCTGCATTGTAGCTGAAAATGAACATGCACTCTCTTTCTAGTACTGGCTTCGAGCTGATGCCTCTGATGTGGCAATCTTAGATAATGGTTTACAGATTGTAATGTCTGCAGGATTGTTGATAAGCATGCTTTTCCACCTTTCTTGAGGACCTGCTGTGAACAGCCTAACATTCTGGCTTCTTTTGCCTCACTGGATAAACATCTGTTTAACCTCATTCTATTTAACCATAACGTCTGTGTAAATTTTTCACCCTCACTTTTAGTCTAATGAACCTTGTGTGGTGTGGGTAGCAGTGTTAGTCCTATTAATAGGTGAGGCGGTAAACTGAGAAAGGTAAAGTAAATTACTGTATTAATATAATCTACGTAGTGACCCTAGATTCAAACATGAGCCTCCGCCTCCAAATCTTGAGTTATTTTTATTATTCCACAATGATGTTTTAGACATACTCTCATAACATATTTTTTTGCTCTTTTTCATTTCAAATACTATAAGTCTTGGGGATATTAATTTATAGCGTTAAGTTCAATAATTTATAATTATTGTATAATGGATAAGTTTAATTTAAGTGAATTGTTCATCTTTAAATATGAAAGATTAGAGATGTATGCTTCAGGTCAGGATGGAGTAGTAGAGACTAGGTTGATCATCCTGCCTGAACAAACAAAAAATAGACAAACTTTATGAAATAATGGCTTCCAAGACAATGGGCATCAGGCAGTAAAAGACAATGGTCCCTGAACAGTAAGAAACAAACATGGCGACTCTACAGTTGTCACTTTACCACTTTGAGAAAGTTTCCAGGCATAAGGCAGGGAGAGGAAACTCAGGCAGAATCTGGGAGACTTGGGCAGTTGGAGTTGAAACTCTGGGGAGACCACAGTGGCTTGCAGGATGGAAAGAAGGCTGAACAGAGAACTGTGGAGCCCTGCAGAGCATCTGCCATATGTATTCACCTGAGCATTGATCAGGGAATGCAAAGGAGGATGTTAAGAGACATTCAAGGCCAGGGAAAGAACCAAAGGAAAATATTGGAAGGAGAGGCTAACCCAGTGCTAACTCTGGGCTGGGAATAGTGCATGTTCTTATAAGCAAGAGAGGAAAGTATCAAGACTCACTGGGCATTGGGTAATATACAGGAGGGTTTTGCCTCAGTAGTGGGAGGTAATTAGCACTAGATGGAGCATGACTCAGGCCTTCCTAACAAATGTGAAGAGCAAGACCCAAAAAGATAAAATCATTTCTAAGCAACTTAACTGCATCCCAGAATAAATTTCAAGAATATTTATAAGAATACAAAAATACCCAGCACTCAACAACATAAAATTACAATGTCTGGTGTTCAATAGCAAATTACCATGCAATCAAAGAAGCCTGAAAATAGGCAATATAATTAAGAGAGAAACCAAATCAATCAAAACTAATGGGGACGCAACGCTGATGTTAAGATTATGGACATTAAGACAAGGACATTAGGACGTTTATTTTAGCTACGTTTAATGTGTTCAAAAAGTTAAGTAGAGTCACGGAACGTATAAAAAGACCCACACTAGATTTCACTGGAGAGAGAAACTCCAATGTCTGAGATGAAAAATAACCTAGATGGATTTAATATTTGGCTGATTTTGGATAAAATTACAAAAGCAATTCAATGAAGAATAGATAGTCTCAACAAATGGTAGTGGTGAAATTGAATATCCATATTTTAAAAACTAAACTTTGTTAATATGTATGTCTCACACCATGTGTAAAAAAATCAACTGAAAATTGATCATAGGCGTATGCATATAATTTCTTCCAAAACTATAAAAATTTTTAGGAGAAAACAGAAAAAAAATATTTTGTTTCTGGATTAGGCAAATACTATTTTAGATACAACACCAAACACACTATTCCTAAAAGAAAAAAAAAACTGATAAACTGGGTTTAAATCATAAGATTTTGTTCTTCAAAAGATTTGAGACGGAGTTTCACTCTTGTTACCCAGGCTGGAGTGCAATGGCACGATCTCAGCTCACCACAACCTCCTCCTCCTGGGTTCAAGCAATTCTTCTGCCTCAGCCTCCCGAGTAGCTGAGACTACAGGCATGTGCCACCATGCCCAGCTAATTTTTGTATTTTTATTAGAGATAGGGTTTTACCATGTTGACCAGGATGGTCTCGATCTCTTGACCTCGTGATCCACCCGCCTTGGCCTCCCAAAGTGTTGGGATTATAGGCGTGAGCCACCACGCCCAGCCTCTTCAAAAGATTCTTAAGTGAATCTTATTCAGCAGCTCGGGCAACAGACTCAGGAAATATTTGCAAATCGTATATCTGATAATGGACTCTAAAATATATAAAGAACTGTTACAACTGAGTAGTAAGAAAGCAAACATCCTAGTGAAAAAATGGAAAAGGATTTGAACAAACATTTTACCAGAGAACACATAAAATGCCTATTAATAAGTATATAAAAAGATATTCAGCATCATTAGTAATTAATAAAATGCTAATGAAAAGCACAGTGTTATACCACTACACCTGCTCTAGAATGGCTAAAATTAAAAATGCCAGCCATACCAAGGAGGCACAGGAATGATGGTGGGGATGTGAAATATTGCAAGGACTCTGGGAAGCAGTTTTGCATTTTCTTAAAAAGTTTCACAGATACCTACCATGTGGTCCAGCCATTCCATTCCTACGTAGTCACCCAAAAGAGGTGAAAGTATGTGTCAGTACGAAAATAAAGTATCTAAGAATGTTCATTGCAGCTTGATATAAGTAGCAGCCCCATAATGGCCGCAACCCAAGTGTCCATCAACAAGTGGATGGACTGAGAAAATGTGCTCTGTTCATTCAGTGGAGAAGTACTCACCATTGAAGAGCAATGAGCTGTGTATGTGTTCTACAATGTGGCAGAATCGCAAAATAATTTGTTAAGTAAAAGTAGTCAGAGGAAAAAAGAGTTTATAGGAATGATTTTAGTCGTGTAGAATTTTAGGAAATGCAAACTAGAGCAAAGTGACAGAAACCATATGAGCAGGAGAAGGGGCTGGAGGGAACTCTTGGAGTGATGATTTAAATGTTAATTATCTTGGTTGTGGTGATGGTTTCATGGAAGTTTACATATGACAAACTGACCAAATTATTTACTTTAAGGATATTCAGTTTTTTGTATGTTAGTTATACCTCAATATATAAAGGTGTGGTTTTAATGTTTCCTGAAAAATTAAGCATTTAAAGTTCACATTTTCTCTACCAAGATCTATTAGATAGCCAGGAATGTTGTTAATTTAGGCATAATTCCAGACATTTTGTGTGCTGATTAATATATTTTAAAAATCTATAATGTTTCATTAGGAAAAGAATTGCCGCTAAATAAAGACAGTAATTTTTAATTCATATTGAAATGACATTTGTGATCGAAAAAGTGCTTCACTTTACATATGTGGGGATGCAGTATAATTTTTAGAATTTTCGTTCTTATCACTTAATGGCTCAGAAATATTTAATTAAAAGAAAAAAATAGAATTTCGTTCTGTCTTGGTAGAGATAGAGCTTATTTACCTCATTGGAGTGAAGTGCATTCTTTTTAATAATTTCGTTTGTGAATTGATTGATATTACAAATTCTGTAGAGATCAATTAAAAAAGAAACAGGATACTACATCCTATATGTGGGGTAATTTAGTTGAGTGGTCAGGGTTTTCCTTCCTCACTGGTCTGAATAATCCACAGACCAGCGCTCATTGACATCTGGATTAATGTAAACCCTTAGATATTTCATTCTTCAGAGATCACATATGCAACTGATAATTTCTTTCAGAATATTCTCAGTAAACATCATTTTTATAAAGTGTGATTCTTGTATTAAGTTGTATTGGTTTTCATTTGAAGGGTAAAGAAGGTAGCCTTTTTTCAGTGTGATTAAAATAACACAAATTTCAAGCATGTGAGGTGATAGACCTGTGAGTTGTAGGGAAAGCGGCATCATTTGGAAATCTCTAAATTTCAGCACCCTCTCCAGAAATGAATTACATGGACTTTTTAAAATGTTATTATTCTCTTATCAATCTTCGCTTGTTTTGAAACAGAAAACAAAATGACCAGTATTTCTAATAATATTATTTTGTTGACCATGGTAGATGTGTCCATTCCTTGAAGCCTGGTTTTAAAAAAGAAAAACAAAAGGCAAGATGTTTTAAATATCCAGAAATAATGCAGCTACTGGGCAAGAAGCAAAACAGAAATTCCATCAGAGGAATGTGCCTGTGATCAAGCACGGGACGCAGGCAGGTTTGCGTCCCTTGCACCCCGTGCTGTGGCCTTTGTTGCAGCAGGATTGACCTGGAAAGCTCCAGCATGGGTTTGCGCCCTGGTAGTGCTGGATGTCAATAGCCCAGTTACCAGCTTGGGAGGGTGGGGACCAAAGGAATGTGAGGACACCCAGGCCGCCTGGACACTGCAGGGCCTGCACTTACCATCTTTCTGGGGAGAAGTCGCCTGCTGGCTTGCAGAAGAAAGGCCATGCTGATTCTAAAGTGAGGAACAGCCTGGATCATGGGGTAGAGAGTACATTATATAGGACTTCAGCCTTTATGGTGATGGGGCTGGGAGGACCAGCCCAGAGGACCCAATGCGCATCTCCCCACATGGCCACGGGGATGGCGGTGCCGACCAGCTCGTAGTAATGGGCTGGACCTTGTGTGGGGACTGAATTAAGTGGCTTCGTGTCTGGGAACAGTGATGCCTGAGAATAAACCTGTGCTTGAGGGTGTAGGGCTGGCCGCCTCCTCCAGCCTATTATGGGTAGTGATGTCATGTTCGGTATGGCCGTGGATGACAGAAAGCCTCAAAAATCAACACTGTTTCTTGTGTAACATGCGAAAGTGGCAGAGGTGGTGATTTTTCCAGTCCTGCAGCTGAGGTCTCTCTGCTTTCTGTGTTCTCGCTGCAGAACCACGAGGCTGCCCTGAGACGCTCAGTCACGCTGTGGGGATGTCAGAGAGCCCCATCGGACCCAAATCCACCATGCTCCGGGCCGATGCGCCCTCGACGCCCTCCTTTCAGCAGACTTTTGCTGCTTCCTGCAGCATTTCCAGCAATGGCCCTGGCCAGAGGAGAGAGAGGTAAGAAGATGGGTCTTTAAACTTGGCACAAACTCCCCTTAAAGACCCAGAATGCTGAGCTGGGGGTGGAAGGAGGGGTGTGGGACCAGCCAGGGATTGCCTGAAGATGGGGGGTACAGGGGACCAGGGCTGTGTGTACAACACTGCCACCCCCCAGGGACAGGTGTATGTAGTGAAAATGTGGGCAAATATAGGGACAATACAGGAAGCAGAGGAAAGTCAGTCTTCCAGGGATTCTGGTTAACAGAATGACCTGGGAGTGGGAGGGGGTGGGTATTAATAGAGAAAAATGGCCTATTTCTGCTTCACAGAGATACTGTCCCTGAGGAAATTCATATGTGAGACCATTCCTCTTGCCCAGAGTAGGAATAAATTTCTTTATGCTTTGTTGTGTGGACACGTAGCTCCCTATTTAACTTTTTAAATTCTGCCTCCATTCTCCTTAAAATAAAGAAAGAGCCTTCCTCTGAGGACTTGGCATTACACATAGACTCTGTACCCATGAGTGTTCCAGTGCTGGCGGAATACGTGTTTGTCGTGTGTGGTTTTAGCCGTGTTTCCGTGTTCGTAGGGGTGTGGTAATCTCCAGGAGTCTTTGTGGTATCTGTTAATCAGCCGGTTGCATGGATGGAGGGCTGATGGTGCGTCTGACAGATGAAGGAAATGGGCAGAGGGGTCATGCTGCAGTGAGGGGGGGATCCGCAGTGAACCCACGGCCCCGCTGCGGGGGTGAATGTGGGTGGCATCCCTGCCTAGTGCTGAGGGACCAGACCGGAGTGCATTTCTACTCCCGAGGGCACATGTGTCTGTGGCCACAGGTGCTGGGTGAGGGCTGAGGAAAGGCTTCCCAGTGGGTACAGAGCTGAGCTGCGTCTTAAAGGATGAAAGGGCCTTGACCCGGTGAAGGTGCAGGAGGGAAGGTGCAGGGGCCAAGGGAGCAGCATCTGCGCCCTGGAGGCGTCCGTGGGGCGGCTCCCCTGGGGGCCCTTATTGCGGGCTGGAGCATCCTGGCATGAAGCGGGGGTTTGACAGGCAGGCAGTGAGCTCAGAGAGGGCCTTAGTGCATATAGTCTGGAAAATACCTCTTGTGCTGCCTGGAGGGCCCGGGCACCCACTTCCCCATCCCTGTCTCCCCTTGTGGGGGGCGCTTGCTGGTCTTCAGGTGTCTCTTGGTGCCTTACGTGCTGTCTTGGTTGGCTTGTCTTCCGAACAGCTCCTCTTCTGCTGAACGCCAGTGGGTGGAGAGCAGCCCCAAGCCCGCGGTGTCCCTGCTGGGGAGCTGCCGGCCCACCGGAAGTCCCCTCAACGCTGAGTTCTCCGGTGTCAGCAAGGACTCCCCAGTGCTGCCCTCCTTCCCACCGGCAGAGCTCCAGGCCTCCTTCCACAGCCATGAGCTGTCCCTGGCACAGCCACCGGCCTCCCTGGCGCCCCCCAGCAGCCAGGCCTTCCTGGGCTTTGGCACTGCCCCAGTGGGAAGTGGCCTTCTCCCCGAGGAGGACCTGGGGACCTTGCTGGCCAATTCTCACGGAGCATCACCGGCCCCGGGCATCCCGCTGACAGCGACAGGGGCTGACAATGGCTTCCTGTCCCACAGCTTTCTCACGGTGGCGCCTGGACACAGCGGCCGCCACAGTCCAGGCCTGCAGGGCCAGAGCGTGACCCTACCCGGGCAGCCGCCCCTCCCTGAGAAGAAGCGGGCCTCGGAGGGGGATCGTTCTTTAGGCTCAGTCTCCCCCTCCTCCAGTGGCTTCTCCAGCCCCCACAGCGGGAGCACCATCAGCATCCCGTTCCCAAATGTCCTTCCGGACTTTACCAAGACTTCAGAAGTGGCCTCGCCTCTGCCAGGTAGGTGTGTTTCCGGCAGGTGGAAGGGCCCCTCAGTCCATTCACTCAGGAAAGGAAGGGTTGAGACCTGCCACTGAGCTGGGGTGCAGGCACATCTCTAGTGCTGCGCTGGGCACCTGGAGAGAAGATCCCGAGCCGTTGGGGTATTTTCCATTTTCCTCTCCCAAAGCCAAGCACTGGCCCAGACCTCTGGTTCACTCTCCTTGACTTCTCTGTTTGGCCACCTTGGCTTCCTTCCAGTTGTAGAAAGTGCAGACATTTGCAGTGGTTCTATGGTCCATTTCACTTGGGACCATGGCTTTCTGTAAAGAACAAATTCCTTTTCAGATTAAATGAATTCATCCGAAAGATAATTATGAAGTATTTCAAGTGCATAAGAAGCGATGTAGTCTATGGGTTAAACACCACCAGCCTTGCTCTCTGTCCTCCCTACCTTCCACGTATTCTTAAAAAGTATTGTGAAACCCCGTCTCTACTAAAAATACAAAAAGTTAGCTGGGCATGGTGGCGCGTGCCTGTCATCCCAGCTACTCAGGAGGCTGAGGCAGGAGAATTGCCTGAACCCAGGAGGCGGAGGTTGCGGTGAGCCGAGATCGCGCCATTGCACTCCAGCCTGGGTAACAAGAGCGAAACTCCGTCTCAAAAAAAAAAAAAAAAAAAGTATTGCAGAGGTCTGATCCAAGGATCCTGTTGTTTTGTTTTGCCTTGTAAGACAGTCACTGCCTGCTCCAGCTCAGTCATTTCAAAGGCAAGAATACCTTTCCTTAGGGCATCCTCTGCTTGCTTGCCCCTGGCATGGGATTTGGACTTCTGGGGTCACAGCAGATGAGAGGTTGCAAGGAGAGAAGTGCCCCTCACAGTCACTGTTTTTAAATTTTGCTTTGCAGATATTCCAGGTGATAAACTTGTGATCGTGAAATTTGTTCAAGACACTTCCAAATTCTGGTACAAGGCGGATATTTCAAGAGAACAAGGTACGCAGGGAGGATGTGGGCCTCCTTGGGCATCTGTCCCGCCACCCGCATAGCTGCCTTGAGTGCGGATGGGCACTGCAGTGGGAATGTCAGACAACCGCGGCCTTGGTATGGATTGAGTTAGAGCAGGGCCCGCATATTATTCCATGCCTCCTGGGGAATCGCTACAACCTTTAAGTTTTTATAGGGGAAAACTCGCTACTAATGAGGGAGTTGGTGAGGAATGGGCCCGAGCCATGAGCATTCCAGGGTGTAGGGTGTAATTCTGGTTGCTTGCACCAGCCAGTGGCTTGCCAGTGATGCCAACCCACAACTGCTGACTGTGAGGAGGAGACACACTGTCCTGCATCTCCATGAAGCCACAGAGGACGGGGTGAGGAAGCAGGAGAGACGCCCTGCTCTGAGAAGTCAGGGACACTGTGTGTTGGTGAACACCTATGTGAGCACTTAGCAATGAGAACTGGCTGTGGGCTAAACCGCTTTCCTCACACACAAACCAGGCGGAACATCTCTCTGCTTGGTAGAGTGTCAGGCAGTCTTTTACAGTTTGAAATTATTAATAGTTTTGAGCCATGTAGTGAGGCATTGGTTTTTACCAGAGCATGAATAGAAGAGATACAGGAGAGAAGGGCTGGCAAGCTCTTCTGGGCAGCCCTGTCCGGAGGCAGCCCCTGGGCCATGAGCAGAATTCACGGGATGCCTCCCTGGCTGCCAGACGGCCTTCCTCCCTGGAGGCTGTGTCTCAGCTGAGCGTACCTTCCTCTGGATCCCTCATTTTGGCAGTGCAAAGAGCTTGTTGCTCCTGGGATATACCTCAGAAAAGATAGTGTGTGCCTGGCAAGAGGGCGGGGCTGTGCCTCCAGTGCCTGGAAGATGGAGTCAGGAATCCCAGGAACTGAAAAGATTCCTAGCGGCCGCCTGGTGGAGGCTGGAGTAAGAGAGGGAACCGGGTGGTTTAAAGCAGTGAGAAATGACAAGCTGCCCGCAGTCAGCAGGAGACCCGCTTGGCTACTCTATGCCCTTTTATCTCCACTTCAGAAGAAAATCAAGCTCTCTTCTTCTGAAGATGCCTCAGGAATGCCTAGAGATGAATAGCTGAGTGGCAGAAAAATAGCACTGTCCAGCTCTCCACTGAAATTCTGCTATTCAATTATGTAGATGATAGAAATGGTAAGAATGTGCATCTCTTATGATCTCAAAGAAGCGATTGTCATTTTAAGTGGAAAAGAGAGAAAAAAAGCCCTTGGCCTGGAAAGACCTTCATCTCCCTGAATTGGGCTTTGTGAAATGCTGCTCACCATGGCTGCGGCCGGATGCTGTGTGCCTGCTGCCACCACCCAGGCCCTGCTTCTGTCTCAAGAATCCCGATGACTGTGGCCTCCAGTAACTCAGCACCTCCTCCAGCTGGCCAGATTGAGAGGTGCTTATCCAGCACCATGTCCTAGAAGATTCTTCCACTCTGTTGGTGCCGTCTTTTAGAACAGGGCGATGCGTGGGGCCAGATGCCCCCTTCTCTCCTTGTGCAATGTCACTGAAGCAGGGGACATCTGAAACAGACACATTTGGGTTGGAGCACACTGCTGGATTCCTCAGCAGGGTAGCGAGGTTCGAGCCTGCCATGGGGGACTGCCATGGTGCTGTGTGGCAGTCATCTGCCCTTGCTGGCACTGGTAGATGCAGGATAAGTGGATGTAGATGTGCAGTACGTGTAGGGGCTGCTGTTGGCATGTGCCTGGTCTTCAGCATACGTTGTAGAAGGTTTGCTGGGAGGACCCCATCTCAGGATGGCTAACGTGCATCGGGTGTTGGTTTTTCCAGCTAAGCTCTAAAAGCATAACCTCCTCCATTTTCTACATATTTTATATGGAAGAGACCTGTGCAGTCTGACACAGAAGGCTGCCCATGGGTGTCATTTATTTGGGTTTTAACTGTCAGATGGGCCTTTTCCTAGAAAAGCTACGGTGACATTTCAGGGGGATGCAGGGAAAAAAAAAAAACAAAACACCCAGATAGCCTCTTTGGGAGTGCAATTTGTGACATATTTAATTCCTTGAGATTTCCTAAAGCTAACGTAAAAAATACTTCAGGAGGAGAAGAGGGCCTTACAGTAAAATGGGAATTAAATACTACTGTCCCAGCTGTACTTGTGGGTTGTTGCTTCTCTGAATGCTGTGAAATTACTCGTTGAAGGGCGAGACAGTGTGAGACGGTGAGAAGAGACTGACTTGCCTCCCCTCCCCCTACGTCCATCTCTAGGCGAGGAATGTGATGCCAGTGCCAGGGTGAAGTGTGTGGCTGCCATGTGCAGTGTGTGGCTGCTCGATTTTGCAACTTCAGCACACCAGCTCCCCAGCCCACTTCTGTTTGGAAAAACAATGGGTTTAAAACTCTCCTTTTAAACTCCCATTACCTGTGCGGGAGAGTGCAGCCCCCTGGCCCCCAGGCAACCTCTGTGCTTCCCTCGAGCTTGGGGAGAAGTGGGCGGAGCTTGGGGAGAAGTGGGCGGAGCAAAACCCATGTTCCCTCCGCTGCCACCAATATTTGCCCAAAGTATCAGTCCCATGAGGCTTCAATGCTTTATTTACCACGGGGAAGTAAAACCATGACCAAAAAAAACAAACTCTGAGGTATATTACGGTTGAAAAAAATGTAAGTGATCTTTTGTCTTACTTTGGAAGAAAAAAAAAAAAGGCCAGGCACAGTGACTCTCGCCTGTAATCCCAGCACTTAGGGAGGCTGAGATGGGAGGATCACCTGAGCCCAGGAGTTCACGACCAGCCTGGGCAATATACTGAGACCCAGTCTCTACCAAAAATTAAAAAAAAGAAAAAAAAATTAACTGGGTGTGATGGTGCATGTGTGTAATCCTAGCTACTTTAGAAGCTGAGGTGGGTGGATCGCTTGAGCCCAGGAGGTTGAGGATGCAGTGAACTATGATTGCACCGCTGCACTTCAGTATGAGTGACAGAGCGAGAGACCCTGTCTCAAAAAAATAAAAATTAAAAATCGAAAAAAAGTAATACATGTTCAGCCCCCAAGTTTATAGAATATGCTGTGAGAAAACATGCACCAGGATTCAGGGTTTATTCCCAGGGCCCATGCCCTGCCCCAGAAGGGGCCCCCTCCTAGCCTGTGGATCCCTTGTGTGGGTGACTGCAGGCCTGGCTGGTGCTCCCAGCAGTCTCGGGCATGCACAGTGAGCCTGTCTGTGTTTACCTGCCCATCTTTGCCCTGTGTGCAGTTCAGAAGCTCCTGCTTCATCCCCAGGGGCATATTGAGCTCCTCCCTGTGACCTCATCCTGCACATGGGACCACAGTGCAGGGCATTGAAAATTGTCTAAAAGAAACCATTCGTTTCATCCTGAGGCCAGACAGATGCCCTGGCTGTGGGTCCGGCCTGGCCTCAAGGGGCGTGAGGGGCCTCTATGTGGAAGTGTGCCGGGGAAATATTGACTGAGGCATGCCGGGGGCATCCCACCACTTACTGGTTTATGTTCTGCGCCCTGATCGCTTCCAGACAGAGCCTTTGGCATTCCAGAAAGGCAGCATTTCCATGGCTGTAATTATGTTTAACTTTATACTCTAAATCCCCAGTTTCCCCCGTTTTTTAAAATAAAGAATAAATGTCTAGAAAAGAAATTCTGAGACATAGTCTAGTTATCAGGGAACATTCTAGCCTGTCTTGGCAGCATCAAGTTGAAATTACTATCACCCTAACCCACTTCATCGTTTTCCTGTGTCATGAGATGTGACTTGGAAATGCCAGATTATGATCAAGAAGGGGAGAGGTTTTTTGAAGCAATGATTCTGATTAGCCGAATGCCTCCCGCTCTCACCAAGGAAGCTGGGTGACCCATCGTGCAGGGCCCTGGGTTGGCAGGCACATGGGGAAGGTGTCCTCAGCCTCATCCAGGCTGGGCTCATTTGGCCACGTCAGCCACAGAGCCACGGGATAGAGGGCCACCTCTATTTTGTTATTTCCTTGTTGAATCTCAGAATTTGTAATAAATTTTCAATAACATTTTGGGTATGCCCTTTTTTATCATCAGAAAGTGTAATTGGAAACTTCTTTCCTTTCATGCTGTTGAAAGAGTCCATGTTCTAAAATCTTTAAGAAAAATGCCACAGGGGGCAACGTCCAGGTAGCGGCAGGGTGTGCTGTGACAGCCTCCCTCCCACTGCCAGCTTCCTCCATTTGTGTATATTTGGACCTGGTTCTGTTTCTTACTCAACATGAGCCTCGGTCTCCTGGAATGTCAGATGGGGACCATCATTTGGATGTCACAGGTGTTGAGGGATTAACAGAAATTCCTGTGTTTTTCCACGGGCAGCCCCCAGGACAGTGCTTGGCACCTCAGACTAGCTAAAGAGAGGGATGTTCCTGTTTCTTCTGCCTCCTCACAGGCAGGCCCACACATGAAGCATACACGACAGCACAGAGACCTCCCTGAGGGTCCCTCAACTGCACCGACACGTTGTTCTTCCAGCCAAGCAACGGGATCCTGACCAGGTCCCCACTGACTCAATTTTTGCAAAGAGTAAGGGGAAGAGGACCTATCCCAAGGTTTTAAGTGGGCACAGACCTTTGTCTACCTGGCAGACGTTCATGTCTTTCTCCTCCCTTTCTCCAGCCATTGCCATGTTGAAGGACAAGGAGCCAGGCTCATTCATCGTTAGAGACAGTCATTCCTTCCGAGGGGCCTATGGCCTGGCCATGAAGGTGGCCACGCCCCCACCTTCAGTCCTGCAGCTGAACAAGAAAGGTGAGGTTACCACTCCCTATTGATCTGTTCGACCCATCCACAGAGAAGCTCTGTTCGTTTATTGTTAGGCTAATGAGATAGATGACTTTAACAATACTCACAAATTTTATTCTTAGTATTTATTTTTTCAGGTGTATGTTACAAAGTATTTACCTTATTGAAGAAAGAACATTAATTTGTAAATTTTATTTTATTTTATTTTTTTGTTTCGGATAGGTAATTCATTTCATTGTTCAAAAATTAGAACCATAGGAGAAGGCATCACGGAGTCTGTTTTGCTTCCATTTCGGTTCCACTTCCCTCATTACCCTGTCACCTCCCTTGGGCAGCCATCTGGAGTAGATTCGTGTGTGTCTTTTCACTGACGACCTGGAGAATGCAGGCAGACACACATTTGTATATGAAAACTAGCACACTACACGCACTGTTCCTGTGTCTCTACTCAATAGGGTATTTTTAGATGGATTAAAAGTGATACTGGAATAAGCGTCATGAGATGATCTCCAGTGCGGATAAAAGACTATGCCTGCCTGAATCCTTTTTGCATTAAAACTCATGGCAAAAAACTGTAATGAGTTTTGCACCAACCTGTAATAGAATGATTTCTGTTTTTGGGGGGATAATACCCAGTAATGGGTTTGCTGGGTCAAACAGTATTTCTGCCTCTAGGTCTTTGAGGAATCGCCACGCCATCTTCCACAGTGGTTGAACTGTTTTACACTCTCACCAACAGTGCAAAAGCGTTCCGTTTTCTCCACAACCTTGCCAGCATGCCCCTATTTTCAGTTTATTCTTTTTTTCACCCTTTTTCTCCCCTTGCTGTTTTTCCCCCATGATAGTCGTCTTTGTGTGCTACCATACCACAAACTCTAAGTCAAGGGAAGCTATTCCTTCACTCTCCCTGTCTCCCCAGGTGGAAGTTGTGGACTGAGGGGACATTGCAGGTCCTTGGTTCCTTGTAAGGGCAACTTGACTCACTGGAAGTGGGGAAATCAGAAGCGGCTCAGATTTTAAACTCCCTGTGTTTACAGAAAAGTGAGACACCCACGTGGTTCGCTCATGCTCTTTGCCTAGTGTCTGAGAGGATTTATCCAAATCCTTGGATAAAACCTCTGCTTGATGCTTCCTGGAGAAAATCGCCTTGGAGTTACACCCTGTGGAATGTATGATTTGGCTGCCAGGCGGTCTAGCCTCAGGCAGGTCTGTGGCGTTTCCAGAAACATTGATGGGTTCATTTTGGCACAGGTGACGGTGTGAGAGTGGAAGGGGTGTGAGGAGTGAGGCTGGGAAGGATCTCGGGCTCAGTCAAAGCTCAGTCCTGAAACCTCTGGATACTGAGTGTCTTGAAGTGAAGTGGAGAGAAGGTGTGTAGGGGAGAAAGAACAGATAATTCTTGAAAAGTAGGATCTTCCAGCATCCAGAATTCCAGCTTAAAAAGCCCAACAACATGCTGCTTCTAAGTGGAAATAAGGGCTTTTGTAGCTGGAAAGCTGAATTCGACCTGATTGTTGAGGAGTGTTCAAGCCTTATTTGGAAGCAAACTGAATAATGATGGCAGGAAAAAGGGTCTCAGGACCAAGAGCATCTGGCGAGTCTGCAGAGATGAGATTATTGTGAGAGCAGGAGTGGTGGATGGCAGCTCTTGGGTTTTGCTTGGCTCCTTGGTTTCTGTGTAAAGTTTTAAGGCAAGGACAAATAACATTTCTGCATGCATTATCTTTTTAGAATCTAGATGACAGTGTATAACTGATTCTACCTCTGTGCATGCATCCTGCCTTTCAGACAGACTTTGGATTCGAATCTTAAGATCAAGGCAACAAAATAGGGGATATTAGAATAGCAGACTTCAGGAAACCCAGCATTGTTGGTGGCCTCTGGGTGAAATCTTATCTGGCTGCTGTGTCTTCACGCTACCCTGGATTTGACATTCAGATTTCAGAATCCAAGGACAGGTCTGAGCAAATAGTTTACCAGTTCATAAAGAGCACAGCCATGTACCGTCCCACCTCCGGTAACCTGGATATGGGACAGCTAGGGACGTTCTGGATGGTGTTCTCCAGAAAGCCCTGGACAGAAGGACTTCCCACCGAGCCATTTCTCACAAGTGGCATCCAGACCCATGCTTGGTGTCCTTCTCAGTTTGAAAGCCAGGCATCATTTTCCTCCCACAACTGAATGGCAATGTGTTCTTATCCCCATTTAATTCAGCACAACCTTTTATAGAAGCTGATCATTTCCTTTGCTGCAAGCTTTACTGGCCTTGTGAAATGCTGACACAGTGATATTTGTCACGTTTATTGATGGTTTTTTTTTTTTTTTGTATTTTTAGTAGAGATGGGGTTTCACCATGTTGGCAAGGCTGATCTTGAACTCCTGACCTCAAGTGATCTGCCTGCCTCGGCCTCCCAAAGTGCTGGGATTACCGGCATGACCCATCAGGCCCAGCGTTTGTCATGTTTATGAACACCCTTTGGAAACCTACTGTGGGCAAGGCACTGGGGACCATGCCCAACTCCAGTGGGTCCTGCTGCCAGGAGGTTTCCAACATCCAAAATACTAGAAGTTCAGGCAGACAGGCTCCCATGGAGGGTGATGAAGGGGGCCCTGGAACACAGAAATACAGCACACTGTAAAGGTCTGTTGGACTCATTAGCAGGGGGCAGTGGCTTCTTGTTCTTTTGGTTATGCTGTTTGTACTTTTCCACTCTCAGACAGTTTTGCCATTCAGTGGCTTTTTATGATGTGTTTTCTCTTTGGACTCATGGGCTGGCCTGAAGCAGATGTACTGTTTACTATTAATAGCAACGTGGTAGAGTGCTTCTCCTGTGCAGCTGAGTGCTTGCTTTCTGGAAGGTTTTGCAGACTCAAGCTCCTTGTTAAATTCCACCTGGGAGACTGACCTTTTTCCAGCTCTTTTCGGCGATTCATTCTAGGTATCATCTTCTGTCTGAGCCTTTGTCATCTCTCCTCTTTGAGAGGGGATGCAGCTGGAGATTCATGATCCTCTTTCTTAGCTGCAAGCTCATTCCCTTCACTGGGGATTCTTGCAGAATGTTTGAGGGCCTCTCTCCCAAGGGACCTCTCCAGCCCCCACACTGTCACTGCAGGGGTTCCTGCCCTGTATCTGACCTAGCCTGTGCTCATCCGGCCATCCTGCAGCCCAGTTACCATTCCTAGGATGAAGATGGATTTTGGCAGCCTCTTGCACAGTGGCTGGACTCTTCAGAGAAGAGCCTTTTCCACTGTCTCCTGGCTTTAGTGCTCTCTCTTTCAAATTCTCCCATGCTCCCATTTTCAAAAAATTCTTCTTTCTTTAAATTTCTTGCCCCAGCTGGAGATCTGGCCAATGAACTCGTTCGGCACTTTTTGATCGAGTGTACCCCGAAGGGAGTGCGGTTGAAAGGGTGCTCGAATGAACCATATTTCGGTAAGTCGCTTGAGAGGTTGCCATCCATGTTCTGAACTCGTGAGGCCTGTATTCCCTCTGCTCGCTAACCTGAGGTTTGGGACCATCACTCTTGTGGTGGTTTACTCATCGTTCAGTCCCCAGTTCTGAAATTCCACTGATCTGAATGATTGTCTTTAAGATAAGCTAGATTTGAAATTGTTCTTAGAAGCTTTGTCAAAACCAAACATATGAAAAGCACTGTACCAGAAGTAGGAATTACAGACTTCAATAAGATTCTGTCCTAGTTGGCAGGCAGATAAGTCCTGAGAAGGTTGGAGCCCCAGTGTGACCCTATCCCACAGGCACAAGGAGCAGCACAGAGCTCCCAACAGAGCACCCTGCCTTCCCTGCAATTGGGAGCCTTCCCTACCTCATGAGCTTGTTGGAAAGATGGCTTGAGCCAGCCACACAAAGCACAGTGCAGCCTTAGGCATCATTGCTATTAGAGCTTTGTTAGGAAGCATTGTGCAGGGGCAATATATATGGCCGGCCACGTATATAAGTTGGAGTTGGCTGGATCTCAGCCCTCCCGATTCAAGATCCAGCAAACTGTGTGCTTTAGTCTTTGTAACTTGGTAATGATGTGTCCATTATAAGAGTGGTCAGCAGTTCCCTTTCCTTACCTCTCAACCATCTTTAGGAACTTGTTACTTCTTTGAAGCTTTTTGCACAAAGCTGCACACTAATCTAACATATTGGTTGCTAAAAAGATAAGGGCTCAGCCTTTGCATCAGTTTCATTCCAGCTGATAAAGTGAGCACACAACACCTACAGCGGTTGTTGACTCTTGTTTGCTGTCTGTCCACTTCGCAGGGAGCCTGACGGCCTTGGTGTGCCAGCATTCCATCACGCCCTTGGCCTTGCCATGCAAGCTGCTTATCCCAGAGAGAGGTAAGGCCTCAGGTCCTCAGTGCTAGTCTGGCTCTGTGTTGATTGTCTATAGTCAAGGCCACTGGTTTCAGAGATCCATAAAGATCCATGGAGAAAAATACTCAGACTGGAGGCTTTTTCATGTACTCATGGTTGAACCCAAGAAAAGGACGAGTTCACCCAAATCAAGGAGAGAAGAGGAGATTCTGCTTCAACTGACGACTCCCAGATAGCTTTACATCGTGGATTTTGATGAAAGGTTTCTATAGAGCAAAAATTCTGTAGCTGAAAAATACAAAATGCTCAGACAAAGAAGTCTTCAGGGTCATTGATGCTGGATTTTTCTGTTTCTACGAAGTGGGCAAAATGTTGATGTTGTTGAACTTAGGTGATGGATGCAATGTTCTTTTTACTTTTATGTTTGTTAGACAATATCTGTAATACAATTATGAACAACACCCACAGCCTATCAGGGCGACGTGACCATATGTCCCAGTTTTCCTAAGAAGTCATGACTTCACATAAAAATGATCTAACTTAATATATACGTAAATGTGATTTATCTTTCAAAATGTCTTTATTCATATGACTAATTCAGTGATTAGAAAAATATTTTGTTAGGCCTTGTCATCTCTACTTCCTTTTTTTGTTTTTTGAGACAGAGTCTCACTCTGTCACCAGGTGCCAGGCTGGAGTGCAGTGGCACGATTTTGGCTCACTGCAAACATCCGCTTCCTGGGTTTAAGCAATTCTCCTGCCTCAGTTTCCAAAGTAGCTGGGACTACAGGCGTGTGCCATACCCAGTTAATTTTTTGTATTCTTTAGTAGAGATGGAGTTTCACCATGTTGGCCTGGCTGGTCTCGATCTCTTGACCTCGTGATCCGCCCTCCTTGGCTTCCCAAAGTGCTGGGATTACAGCCATGAGCCACAGCACCCGGCCCATCTCTACTTTCATTCAGAATGTGATCATGGTTTCTCTGGGTCAGATTATTGTCCCAAAGGGAAACTTTCAACTCTGCAAAACCATTGCATGTCACCATCTGGGAATTCTGTCATCAGGTTGTCTAACTTTGTCATGAGGATTCTTGGTCAGGAGCAGAACTCATTTCTATGTTTTCTTGCCCCTCCCTACAGATCCATTGGAGGAAATAGCAGAAAATTCTCCACAAACAGCAGCCAATTCAGCAGCTGAGCTGTTGAAGCAGGGGGCAGGTCAGTAAATGCAGCTCTGTTTCCAGATCTGGGGACTGGGGAGAAAAAGGACTCAGGGACACAACTTCCTTTTGCACTTTGACTATTCAGGTTTTCTTTCTTTCCTGCGAGCCCTGAAGGAGGTTTCCTTTTATAGAAACTTGCATATAGCTGGGTGGGGTGCAATTGTTGGGACATCGACCAGGGCTTCGTGGGCCAGTCTGACTTGAGCAAGACTAACTTCAGTGGAATAAATGTCAAGCCCTGGATTTAGTTTGGGGGAAAATATAGTAAGACAGGATGTGGGTGACCTGTCTCAGCAGCTGTAAATGTAGAAATGTTCCAGAGACGTGAGTCAACAAGTCACTTGGCATGAGTCAACGATTTGACCTACACTACCAGCAATCCCAGTGAGACACACAACACCCAAGAACCAGCTCGCCAGAAAGAGCAGGTCACTTAAAAAAAATGTATTCATAAAGTTTCTTTTTTTAGAGCAGTGACAGATTGACATTAAAATGGAGAAGGTACAGAGATACACCATATACACACATAGCCTCCATGCTGTGAACATGCCCCAGCAAAGCAGTGCACGTGTTACAGTTGATGAACCTGCATTGACACAGCCTCATCACCCAAGTCCCTAGTTTCTTTATATTAGGTTCACCTTGATGTCTTGCATTCTATGGGTTTGGACAAATGCATAATGACAGGTAATCACCGTTATAATATTATAGTGAATTATTTTATTGTCCTAAAAATCCTCTGTGCCCATCTGTTCATCCTCCCTCCCCCACCAACCCCAGGCAACCACTCATGTTTTTATTGTCTCCATATTTTCAACTTTTCCAGAATTGTCATATAGTTGAAACCATATAGCTAATAGCCTTTTGAGGTTGGCTTCTTTCACTTGGTAATATGCATTTAAGTTTCCTCCATGTGTTTTTATGTCTTAATAGCTCATATTTTTTTTTAGCAGCAAATATTTCATTGTCTCAGTGTACCAGTTCAATAACTGATTCACCTATTAAAAGATATCATGGGTACTTTCAAGTTTTGGCAGTAATGAATAAAGCTGCTGTAAACACCCATGTGCAGGTTTTTGAATGGATGTAAGTTATCAGCTCCTGTGGGTGGATGCCAGGAGTGCATTCCTGGATTGTATGGTAAGGGTGTGTTTAGTTTTCTGTTTTTTGTTGTTGTTGTTGTTTTTTAAGACAGAGTTTCGCTCTTGTTACCCAGGCTGGAGTGCAATGGCACGATCTTGGCTCACCGCAACCTCCACCTGCTGGGTTCAGGCGATTCTCCTGCCTCAGACTCCTGAGTAGCTGGGATTACAGGCACGCACCACCATGCCCAGCTAATTTTTTGTATTTTTAGTGGAGACGGGGTTTCACCATGTTGACCAGGATGGTCTCTATCTCTTGACCTTGTGATCCACCCACCTCGGCCTCCCAAAGTGTTGGGATTACAGGCGTGAGCCACGGCACCCGGCTGAGTGTGTTTAGTTTTATAAGGTACTGGCAAAGTGTCTATCAACGTGGCTGTCCCATTTTGCATTCCCATTAGCAATGAATGTGAGTTCTTGTTGCCCCACATCTTTGCCAGAATTTGGTGTGGCCAGTGTTCTGGATTGTGGCCTTTCTAATAGTGGCGTAGTAGTATCTCATTGTTTCTGATGACTTACAATGTGGAGCACCTTTTCAGATGTTTATTTACCATCTGTATGTCTTCTCTGGTGAGGTATTCATAGAGGTCTATGGCCTGTTTTTTTAATTGGGATTTTGTTTTCTTATTGTTAAATTTTAGGAGTTCTTTGTGTATTTTAGAAACTAGTCCTTTACTTGATAGGCATTTTGAAAATATTTTCTTCCATTTCATGGCTCACCTTTTCATTCTCTTACAGAGCAGAAATTTTTGATTTTAATAAAATCCAGCTTATCAATTTCCTATTTTATGGATTGTGATTTTGATATTGTATCTTAAAAGTCATCACCAAACACAAGACCAGCTAGATTTTTTTCTAATGTTATTCTCAAGGTATTGTTAAGTCTAGGGTCCATTTTAATTTAATTTTTGTGAAGGATGTAAGGTCTGTGTCATGATTCATTTTTTAATTTTTTGCCTGCAGATGTCCAGTTGCTTCTGTACCACTAGTTGAAAAATCTGTTTTTTCACAGTTGTATTGCCTTTGCTCTTTTGTCAAAGATTAGTTAACTATGGTCATGTGAGTCTACTTTTGAATTCTTTAATTCACCTATCTGTTATTTCACCAATATCACATTGTCGTGATTGCTTTAGCTTTATAGTAATCCTGGAAGTCAAATAGTATCATTCCTCTAACTTTGCTCTTCTCTTTCAATATTGTGTTTGCTATTTTTGGTCCTGTGCCTTTCTGTATTAACTGTAGAATCACTTTGTCAATATCCACAGAATAACTTGCTGGAATTTTGATTGAGATTGCTTTGAATCTATAGATGAAGTTAGGAAGAACTGTCTTCTTGACAAAAGTTGAGTTCTCCTGTCCATGAATATGGAATATTTCTCCATTTATTTAGTTTTCTGTGTCTTTCATCAGAGTTTTATAGTGTTCCTCATACAGATCTTGTCTATAGTTTGTTAGATTTAAATGTAAGTAGCTTTTGGGAGGTGCTAATGTAAATGGTATTGTGTTTTTAATTTCACAGTTTACTTGTTTATTGCTGGTATTTAGGAAAGCAATTGACCATTCGTATATTAACCTTGTATCCAGCAATCTTTCTGTAATCACTCATTAGTTCCAGGCCAGGTTGCTTCTGCAGCATTAGATGCATTCCTAGTGGCCCCAGTGTAAGAAGGTTATAAACAAACCACACACCATAGGGCTCTTGTGATTCTGTGGCCTTGAGGGAGGGACAGAGAGAGGACAGTGGGGCATGCTGACTTTCAAACCTTGAGTTTCAAAACCATTGGAAGTTTTTTATGCAAGGTAGGTATTTACTTTCAGAAATGTTGGGGAGGGAATTTCTGAGTCTGGGAGAAGATTGGACTAGAAATACCTCCATTCTGCACCTCATGTATCTGCAGATTATTTTACAGGTGTAACTCCACAAGGAAGCTGTATGAAATATGCAGGCCTTTTCTTATTTTCTCTACAATTTGTATTATTCTTCTATGTAGCTTTCCTCTGTAAAATTATATATCACTGTGTCTGTTACCTAGCTAAAGTAAAATTGGTTTGTTTTGAATGGAATGTTTATAGTGTTTAAGTCATTTTAGACTCTCCTTATATAATAAGTTATCTGTGGCCAAAGTAAAGGTGAAAATAGCTTGCCCCAAATTGCAAGTATGCTAAAGCTCGAAGCTCCAAAATAAAAAGTGTAGCTGTGGTCATGGGTTTCAGGGCACGTTCTGCCACTGAGGATTTTGATCTCTGGCAAATCACTCAGCCTCACAGACCTGAGGTTTGTATCTGGTCAGTGGGGGTGATAATATTTCCACACATAGCAGTTGAAAAGATGAAATGAATAGGACATTGAAAGTGCCGTGGGAGTGTTTTTCTGGCCCAAGAGGAATGGCCTTTCTTGGGAAGCTGACCTCACCCTTTCCCTTGTGAGCTCTAGATCCCATCTTTGGGCCTGGGCTGGTCCTGGACCACAGCCCCCAAATCTGTTTTAGGGGGTCCCTGGAGCCCATCATGGTTCTTAGCTTTCTCCTGTTAAAGTAACAGTGGACCCTGTCTGTGGGTCCCAGCGAAGCGTCCAGGAGGATGCAGGAATTCACTGCAGACCTCTCTGATGAGCAGCGCACTCACTCTCAACTGAGAAGACGGGGCTCTGAAACCAGATCTACTCTGATGGATTTAATTGTGTCAGTCACATCTTTTGAAAGTGTTATTTGAAATTTTGAAAACATTTGATTAGTGGTTTTTAAATCACAACATATGCATTGGCAGTGTTCAGAAAAGCATTGAAGACTGGTGATGGCAGCAGGCGCAGAGTAGTTGTCCTGCCCAGCTTGTTGGCTCCTCTCTTCCACCCACAGGGCCTGTGCATGTAGTGTCTTGTCATCCCATCATGACAGCCCTGGCTCCTGAGTGGCAGATCCAGGCCTGGCATTCAGCTCCCACGTCCAGCCATGCCCATATCCTCTTAGAGACACAACCCTGCCCATTCAGCCCTATATGGTAGCACTAGGGCACACGCATCTGTGCCTTCTGCTCTTTTGATTTAGTACCTTCTCATCATGAGCAGTGTTTCAGTTTTGTTCTTAAGCTTTCTGGTTATCCTACAGTCACTCAGTAAGTGTGGCATTGATAGATGAATTCGGTGAATTTAGTTGATCGTAACAGTGCATCCCAATAGTGCTTGCTTTTAGATATTTAAACTTTCTCTTCTATCCTGCCTTATCGTTTTTAAGTACATTTTCCCATCTTTTAAAATTACATATGAAATGTATCAAACACTCCAATTTTTTTCTAAGGGTGGGTCTTCTTAGAGTCAGACGGACTTCACTCAGAACTTTGAGCTTGTGTCTAATTACCTGAGTTGGGCATTTATATATTGAGCATTTTTTTCTTTAAAAATGTCATTTCTAAAACACATTGACAGCTGCGAATGTTTGCTGTCCATTACATTAACCCCATTTCCAAGTCACGAAACTAGGACAGCAGATCTGTCACCAGAGGAGTGAGGCTGTCACAGTGACCACCCCTCAGCTGGTGCCGTCTTCACCTGGAGGACTGGCTGTAAGTGTTTAGAATCAGCGCAGAGCAACCACTGTAGCAAGATGGTGGAACTATTGCAATCTCTGATGACCTCCAACAATTTAGTTTTCTTTCCTAAACTGAACTTCATCTCTTGTCCTAATTCGCTTAGAGTCCTAGACTCCTGGATGTGCAGTATTCTTTGAGATGATCACGTCCAATTTCCACATTATAAAGATAGAGGAAGCTGAGACTCAGAAATATTAGCAGTCAGACAACTTACAAAGATGAATATAAGCTTTTAATTTTTTCCAGTTTAATCCCTTTTCATTTGATACTAAGGCCATTATGCCTTTGTTCCAATCTCTAAAACAATTTCGGTTTGTGTTTTAAGCCTCAGTTCTTAATTGTTTCTTGTTGAAGCAGAGGAATATAATATAATCCTGAAAAGAAAGACATTTCTTTTTACTAGTCTTATAATAGATTTCCCAGAAATGTTGTGGTTGCATTTTTTAGCATATGGTACGTATATATATATTTTTAAATAAAGTCATATATGTTCTTTAAATTTTAAAAATGGAAGACATAAGTAAAGGAAAAAATGATAGATGTTACTGCTATTCAGTCCCCGAATATTGGGAGGAAGGGTGGACAGCAGGTTCAGCGTTCTCCAGTCCAAAAAGCACTCCCGATGTCAACCAGATCCAATCATAGGCTGCCTTTTTCCTTGTACTTGGAGTCATGCTGCATGTATGATTCTTTTCTCGTCTCTTAGATTAATAAGTTTACCCGTGGATTTTACAAACATAATGCAGGTCTTATTTTTCATGGCTACACAATGTCCATCTGGACCTGCATGTAATTCACCTCCTTATACTTATTCATTTAGCATGTTTCTGGTTTTTAATACCACAGACAATGCTTAGGTGACCATTTTTCTGCATCATGTCCTTTTTTCTGAATTCTGGATTGCTGCCTTAGGACCATTCCCACATGTGGGCCCCAGACTTGGTTCTGTGTTATCAAGTCTGTTTCCCAGATTAGCTAGCAATTGACAGAGCTCCATGCCATGGGTCTGGTGGACGCCTTCCTGGTAACTCTCAGCGGGCACCTAATCTTCACCTCTGGCACAAGCACTTGGGCCAGGTGCAGTTGGACAGCCACAGCATCGACCCTCAGGCAGGCGCAGGCATGCCTGTTTTCTGCTGGAGAGAGGCTTTGGGGCACCTGGTGTTAATTGGCTGATGTGTCCCCTCCATAGAACAGCCACCCTAGTGGCAGCATTTTCTTCTCTCCTTTGAGAACTGATGACATAGCTCCTGCATTAGGGGGAGAGATTCCCCAAACAGCAAATTCCTACCAAAATCTAGCCAGCAGGACTGCTCCTCGTCAGAAAGCCATTTATGACTCTCTCAAGAGTGTATGGGTCTGGGCTATGGCAGCTGTGGTTCTGTGTGAACTGGTTGAGATTGTGCCAGTTTTGTGGAATTTTCCTAGTAAGTTAGGTCAAAATTTCCCCTTTTTTCTCTCTTTCATAACCGCATGATTAGCATGACAGTAATGCCAGTAAAATCATAGACAGGCTGTCCCCATCACGAGGTCTGTTTTGAATTCTCCAGGCTCCCTCGCAGCTCCTGCCTGTATACACACATGCTTTTTATTTTCCCATTCTAATCACAGCAGACGTGGCTTTTATTCTGCTTTTCCCGATGATTGCTGATGACGTCTCTCCATGCTGCCGTGTGATTTTCCTGGTTACTGCTTGCTGGCTGTGTGGTATTCCACTGAGGGGGCCCATTTTACCCCTCTCTCATTTCTAGTGTGTTTCTGGTCTTTCCCACTATAATGGGAATATAATGAATATGTGGCACAGATGTCTTTCTCTGCAGGTTAGCTATCCCATGTGGTTATTGAATACTTCCTTTCTCAATCTCCTTAGAAGTGGGACCTCTAGGTGTTTCAGATTCACCTGATAAATATCACCAAGTATATTAATCTTTTCTCATGATGTTCATACAAACATATCCAAGACTGAGTAATTTATAAAGAAAAAGAGGTTTAATGGACTCACAGTTTCACATGGTTGGGGAGACCTCATGATCATGGCAGAAGGCGAAGGAACCGCAAAGACACATCTTACGTGGTGCCAGTTGAGAGTGTGTGCAAGGAAACTGACCTTTATAAAACCATCAGTTCTTGTGAGACTTACTGTCACGAGAACAGCATGGGAAAAACCCACCCCCATGATTCAGTTACTTCCCACCGGGTCCCTCCCACCACACATGGGGATTGTGGGAGCTGCAGTTCAAGATGAGATTTGGGTGGGAACACAACCAAACCATATCACCAAGTTATCAAAAATGGGCTCAGTTCCTCAGAGTGTCTTCAGCTCTAAACAAAATAGCCTTTGCTGTGGAGAGAAAGGATTGCCCAGCAACTCATAGGTGACCCTGCGCTCTGACACCCAGGGACATCCTAGCCCATCTGTGCGCCTGTGCGTCAGTGCACCCTGCAGCCCACCCGTCAGGCCACCTGCCAGCACATCTATCAGAACATCTACCAACACACCTGCCGAAACACCTGCCAGTAGGCATGGGCCTTGCTGCTTCCGGAAAGTCAGACTCCAAGGCAAAGAGAAGATGGTGCTGCTCCATAGGCCTGCCTCCCCCAGGCAAACACGGTCGAGGGAGGCAGCACCACCCAGCGCGGACCGTGCATCCGAGTGCTGGGATGCTTTGCTGTAGACCGTGGGGAAAGCACTCTTTTTCTGTTAGTGAAACTTTAGAGGCCTTTACCGTGGAAGTAAGATACGTACATGCTCACATCGAGGGACTTGTATCCAGCAGACAGGGGCGAGTGTGGGAGAGCAGTTCTTTTCCTCAGGAGGAAGCCTACTCAGCCTTTGGGCAGGAGAAGGCCTGGTTTCCTTCAGCGAATGAGCTGCAGGCCGAGCCTGGATGTCTCGGAACACCTCAGTTTCACCCACGGCCCGAAGTCGCATGTGTCCTTGTGTTTGAGCTGCAGGGTCACAGGCTAGAAGGGAGAGGAGGGTTGTGGAGTCCAGTCGTTTTCCTTCCCCCAAGAGGAAGTGGGCGGGGACAAGACCCACAGCCCTCCCTTGGCAGCACAAGGAGCCAGGACACTAGCAAGGCCGGGCCACTTACTGGCTCTTTACAGTCTGTTCTCTGAGCTCACTGCAAGCCGTTCCTTCTCTTGGCAACCAGGATTCCAGGACACATGCTTCCCTCACAGATGTTTCTCGGGGGCTCCTTACCTAGAAGGAGGGGGGTTTCATGCTGATGTGACTGTTGTCCAGACCCACCCTGAGACCAGAGAAGGTGCCTTGGGCTCCACCTGGGACTTGAGGGTTTTATATTGCTGCAGGGTGAATGGGAAACTCCTTCTGGCTGGGAGGAAGGCAAAGCCACATCAGGCGCGTCTGCTTTGCTCTAGTAACTCGCTTCCTCTCTGCCTTGACACGGGAACAAGTGCACCCTTGGAGCACTCACTGTTCATGCTTTCAGACCTAGGAGCAGCTTTCAGAACTAGGAGCAGCAAAGGCCATTGGCCTTACGTGCAGACAGGACAGGCCACATGTGTGAGTCATTAGTAAACCCGAGGTTTGCACATCAGCAACTGACAGTGTGTTAACAGGACATGCCTGTCCCAACAGTTGCAACTAACCCGTGTTTCGCTTGGTGTCTTCCAGCCTGCAACGTGTGGTACTTGAACTCTGTGGAGATGGAGTCCCTCACCGGCCACCAGGCGATCCAGAAGGCCCTGAGCATCACCCTGGTCCAGGAGCCACCCCCTGTGTCCACCGTCGTGCACTTCAAGGTGTCAGCCCAGGGCATCACCCTGACAGACAATCAGAGGAAGTGAGTGCCCGGAGGGAGGCAGGAGCCGTCAGCAGGGGTGGGGCTGTCACCTTCCTCTTGCCCTTCCCTAGTGTGAGTGGTCATCCAGGTAAATCGTTAGCCATCCTTGAGACTGTCAGTAACCCAGCGTCTGTCTAGGCTTTTTTCTGTCATTAAACAGGTCCTGGGAACCACATAGAAACGATTAACATTTGTTCTGAAGGTGATTTTTCTTAGAAATCAGTAAAATTTTTTTTTAAAAAAAAGACATTTGGTGTTTTAAAATTACACACATACACACATAATTTGCAAACGTAAAAAAACCTTTTTAACCCAGTTACTTAAAAACACTGATATTACGATCAGAATCCGTTGGTCCTGGAACCTGTTGTTTTCACAGAGGGTCCTCTCCTTTCAGGTGAGAGTATGACTTCAATATGTACTATTTCCTTTGGCCAATTTCCAGTGACTTTGGTCAGAGCTGTTACTGAGCCAGCTGTGCTGGAGCAGTTGCTCCTGCCGCGGACCTTTACTGAACGCCTGGCACGAGCATGGGACAGAGCAGCCACAGGCCTGTTCCTCTCTCCTTCCCCCCAGAATGCCATCCCTGAGTGGAGCCTGCGGCCTGGGAACAGAGCATTTCAGATGCAATTATTTTGTCTTGTGTAGTTGAGGAGGCATGTTGGCATCAACCGTGGCAGCCGCACGATGGTGGGAACCGTCACAGCAGACAGGTCCGCAGGGGACACTAACACCAGCCTGGTTTTTTTCCCAGGATGCTCCCCTAGCAGGGCCCCCATGCCTAGGAGCAGGACATTTTCATGATCTGCTCAAACCACCTGGGAGGTTGAAGGCAGGATCTTCCTCTCCATAGCTTCAGGAACAAGTGAGTGCGACAGGTTTCGCTCATAACCCTTCACCTGCTAAGAAAAGGAGCACAAAGCAGAACTTGGGCTTTGCTGGTCAGACCCAATCAGTGCCCCGACACAGACCAGCAGATGACACTGGGCAAGGTCCCAATGCTTGATGCTCTCATATTTCAGCCCTGCACCAAAATACCTATTTCAAGGTTTAGTGTTTCAAATGAAAAGGGCACTCAGTAAGTGCCCTGTGTGGCAGACGCAGGGTCAGAGGCGTGGCTTAGCCCCACTGTGCTCTCAGGGTCAGGGTCAGGGGTGTGGCTCAGCCCCACTGTGCTGTCAGGGTCAGGGTCAGGGGCATGGCTTAGCCCCACTGTGTTCTCAGGTCAGGGTCAGGGTGAGGGGCGTGGCTTAGCCCCACTGTGCTCTTAGGGTCAGGGTCAGGGTCAGGGGTGTGGCTCAGCCCAACTGTGCTCTCAGGGTCAGGGTCAGGGTCAGAGGCATGGCTTAGCCCCACTGTGTTTTCAGGTCAAGGTCAGGGTCAGGTGCGTGGCTCAGCCCCACTGTGTTTTCACGGTCAGGGTCATAGGCACAGCTCAGCTGCACAGTGGACTCAGGGTCCAGGGCATGGTTTGGCTGTGTGAGGGACTCATGGTCAGGGTCAGGGGGCATAGCTTTGCTGTTTGGTGGACTCAGAGTTAGGGTTGTGCCTTGGCTTTATGGTAGACTTAGGATCAGGGGCATGGCTCATCTGCATGGCAGACTCAGGGTCAGAGTCAGGGGTGTGGCTCATCTGTGTGGCGGGGTCAGGGTCAGGGTCAGAGGGATGGCTCATCTGCATGGTGGAATCAGGGTTGGGAACATGCCTCAGCTGCATAGTTCACCCAGGGTCCAGGTTAAGCATGGCTCAGCTGCCTGGTGGACTCAGGGTCAGAATCGGGGGTATGGCCCAGCTGCACGGCGGACTCAGGGTGTGTTGGGCATAGCTCAGCCACACAGTGGACTTGGGGTCTAGGACATGGCTGAGCTACACAGCTCACCTAGGGTTTCCGTTGGGTGTGGCTAAGCTGCGCGGTGGCCTCAGAGTCAGTGTTAGGGGCATAGTTGAGCTACATGGTGGACCTAGGGTCTGGGATGTGAATCAGCTTCCTAGTGGACTCAGGGTCAGGCTCAGGGCATGGCCAGGCTGCCTGGTGGACTCAGGCTCACAGTCAGGAGTATGGCTAGGCTGCCTAGTGGACTGAGGGTCAGGGTCAGGGGGTATGGCTAGGCTGCATGGTGGACTCAGGGTCTGGAGGCATAGCTTGACTACATGGTAGACTCAGGGTCAAGGTTGGGCTCCTTAAGGTCCCTCACAATGTTGACTGTTCCCTCCTCCCTGCTGCCCTTGGGGGAGCTGTTATTTCTTCATAAGATCTGTTCTATGTGCTCTTGTCAGGGTTATCTTTTTTTCTGCGTCTCTTTAGTTTCCCTGCATTCTTTATACTCCCTGGAGATGGGTCATGTCCACATCAGTACAGATCTTTCATATTGTAAGAGTGAGAGTTCAGACTGGCTTATTCTGGACAAAAGGGGCATCTTCTCACCAACAATCAGCACATCTTCTCACCAACAAATGCACCTGTTTGAGAGGGCCTGCTGGTGCTGCAACCTGGCATTGAAGCACCCCCAGGCTCTGCCTCTGCCCTTATCTGTCTCCTGGCCTCTCCCTTCATCTCCAGATGAGTTTTACCCTGTGCCAGTGCAGAGTCACTCCCAGGAGAGGGTTGACCCCAAAGCCAGCCAGACTGGCCCAGCCTGGACACAGCAGAGTGTTGAGATGGTGTCCTTTGGGGTCCGTGTGGACTGGGTGGATAGCACTCTTGGAAGGAAGGGCTAGGCAGGTGAGCCGGAGGAGGATGCCCCAGGTGGTCATGTCAGTGACTGAGGGCTGGCAGGTGAGCCTGGATGGAGGTCTCCATGAGGGTCGTATTAGTGACCATGTGGAGCCCTTCTCTAAAGAACGTACCATGCACAGCACTTTACCATTCACTCAGTGCTTTCAGATCTATGACTGCATCTGACGGGCGTCTGTCCTGTGGAAAGAGTGGGCTGGTATTGTGATCCTCTTTTCACAGGTGAGGAAACCGAGGCTCGGAGGTGGAGGCTGTTAGTGGTTTCCTTACAACCTTGCAGCCAGCAGTGTCTGGCAGAGCTGGAGGGGCTTGCTTGTGTCCATCTCACACCCACCAGCTTTTCCAGTTTGTTAGGGCTTCTTTTTTGGGAGTGGGGGGAGGGGGGATGGAGTCTCACTCTGCTGCCCAGGCTGGAGTACAATGGCACGATCTTGCCTCCCTGCAATCTCCGCCTCCTGGGTTCAAGCAATTATCTTGTCTCTGTCCCCCGAGTAGCTGGAATTACAGCCACATACCACCATGCCCAGCTAATTTTTGTATTTTTAGTAGAGACAGGGTTTCACGAAGTTGGCCAGGCTGGTCTTGAACCCCTGACCCCAGGTGATCCACTCACCAAAAGTGCTGGGATTATAGGCGTGAGCAACCACGCCTGGCCTGTTAGGGCTTCTTGACATCATTCCCACCTTCCACACAGCTGGCAGTTTCGGCCCGTGTGGTGCTTCCGTCTACTGGTGACAACCTTTCTGCCCAACTTCATGACATCTGTTGACTTTGAATGAGCCCACACTTTCTTCTCTCCAAGTGACGAGTAAAAGTATAAAACGTTTTCTGCTGCAAGAATCTTCCTGTATGGTAGAGCCCGCCCAGTGAATCCCTGGTCTCTCAAAAGCCCCAGTAACAGGAGCCATCCTCTCTGCCCTGTGTCCCAACAGGCTCTTCTTCCGGAGGCATTACCCCGTCAACAGTGTGATTTTCTGTGCCTTGGACCCACAAGACAGGAAGTAAGAAATTTGCATTTTTATTAAACAAGGAATATACTTAATTCTGTCCCTTAATGTAAAAATTAACCTGACTTTTTTTGTCTTTAATTTGCAAGGTGGATCAAAGATGGCCCTTCCTCAAAGTGAGTTGCTGGGATTTCTTTACATTCTCTCTGTCTACAGTTACAGTTCAAAGTTGGATTCTGTTCTAGATTTCCATAAGGGGTGCCTTATAAGAAAATGATGACACTCTCCCAATTGCTTTAAAAAACAAGAAAGTAAAAGTGTTCTCGTTTTGGACGAGGATCTTTTTCTCCTGGCTGTTGGCGGGATGTGCAGTATTTACATGTGTCGTATAGCACTGTGGCATAGATACAGGGAGATGGATGGCACAGCCTTTTTGGTCATTTGGGAGAGGGTGGGCTCAGCAGTGCTGAGGTCTGCACAGCTAGAAGGAAGTGCTCCCTGTGTTCAGGTGTGCGGTTGAGGCGGGGGTTCCAAATTTACCAAATACAAGGGAGGGGGGTCTTCATCACGCCCTTGCTCCACAGACAGCCAGGCAGCTGTTAGAGGTCCCTCTTTTTGTTTTTTGTTTTTTTGAGACAGAGTTTTGTTCTTGTTGCCCAGGCTGGAGTGCAATGGCTCGATCTTGGCTCACTGCAACCTCTGCCTCCCGGATTTAAGCAATTCTCCTGCCTCAGCCTCCCAGGTAGCTGGAATTACAGGTGTCCATCACCACGCCCAGCTAATTATTTGTATTTAGCAGAGATGGAATTTTACCATGTTGGTCAGGCTGGTCTCAAACTCCTGACCTCAGGTGATGCACCCGCCTCGCCCTCCCAAAGTGCTGGGATTCAAGGTGTGAGCCACCGTGCCTGGCTTAGAGGTCCCCTTTTATAAGCACACTTTCCCTGGCTCCCTGAGTACCATGGCCTTGCTTCACTCACCTGTGCTCATTCCGGGCCCAGTGTTGCCATCAGGGCCAGCTGGGGGATCTGGTCCTAACCTCCCACTCGCGGGCACAATGGGCTGCTTCCTCCCAGCCTGGTTTTCTCAGCACAACCCAGATTTAATGACCACAGTGCCTGATCACAGACATCCTTCCCTGGAATCCTGATTTCAAATGGCTCATCTGTCCAGGGAGTTGCTCAGTGCATGTGTTAGCAGAAGGGAGGATAAGGAGAAGGAACCCTGGTACAGATGAACTGGGCTTCCCCGATGGGGACTGTGTTCTGGGCACACTCCCTCTCTGGCTGGTAGCAGAAATATGGACTTTCATCTGCTTGGAATTTGTGACTGTATTGGGGTTACTCGAGTGTCATTTCCACACCCTTCTGTGGTGTGGAAACTGCTAAATTTAAACAAAAAAAAAAAAAATCCTTCATTTTTCTAAGAAAGAGAAGAATCCTTTCCTCCAGATTTGGATAGGGATAATGGTTGTTATTGTGTGAAGTGCAGGACTCATAAAAGCCTAAGATAATGGCTTTAATTCTTCTAAGAAAAATAATTCGATGGGCTGTTCTTTATTAAAAGCCCCGGAACTCTATGTAGTTTGTAATTCAGGCTTCCCAGGCCTGAAAGGAGTGCCTGGTGTATTTCCCTTATGGTCCCAGTGGGTGGGAGTGTTGAAGTCCAGGCAGGACTGGCATTCTGGCATCATCTCAGGAGTCCCTGAGTCCCTTGCTGCTCACCTTGTAGACTGTGGTCTCATATGTCAGGGCTGGGGCTCAGGAATCTGCAGGGACAGGTGTCTGGGGATTCTGGCCCTGGCATGGGGAAGCATCTATAGAGGAAGTTGAGCCTCAGCTTTGACTCAGGTCCTAACCTGGGGCTGTAGGCAAGGCACTCACCTCTCAGCCTCAGGGTTCCCACTGCAGAGCTAGAGTCAGACATCTCATCTGCAGGTCTGTGAAGGCTGGAGGTGAAGTACGTAAATGGATAGCCAGAAGGGTGCTGGGCACATGGTAGATTTTTGAAAGGTGGCATTTAAGATTCCTTCCGGCGGTGCTGCTGGTACCTGGAGGAAGTAGAAGCTTGGGACCTTGTGGGACACTGACCGCTCTGACCGGACTTTCCTTTGGCAGAGTCTTTGGATTTGTGGCCCGGAAGCAGGGCAGTGCCACGGACAATGTGTGCCACCTGTTTGCAGAGCATGACCCTGAGCAACCTGCCAGTGCCATTGTCAACTTCGTATCAAAGGTCATGATCGGCTCCCCAAAGAAGGTCTGAAAGCCCCCCCTCACACCCAGACCCACCAATGCCTCTCGAAGCCCTGGAGACAGCCGTGGGGTGAGGGTGGGGGCCCCACTTTCTACCAAACTGATGAACCAGACATTCCAGGCCCATGAAGGGAAAGAGGATCTTCCAGCTCTACAAAAACAAGAACAAACATCACCATGAATTGGTCTTTCCTGAAAGTGACTTACCTGATACATCTCTGTAGCCACACGCTTTTTGGGTAGAAGAAGCTTGGCACGGGTGTACCACCCCCCAGGGTCCCCGTGGGAAAGGTATCTGCAAGGAAACAGCCCAGAACACGAGGTGGTCCCCACGTCCCTGGCACACCAGCATTCCAGGGGATGAGGAGTCCCAAGCCCTTGAGGCAGAGGTGCTGAGAGACTGCCCTCCTTGCCCATCGGCATGGGCACTCCTGCCCAGCTGCACCGGAGGCCGGGGGTCTTCCTCACCTTGTCTTTCTAAGACGGAGATGCTAATGAAACTGAGAAGTGGGGGTGTATGTTTGATGAAGGTTTGTGCAAGTCAGGCTCTTCTGGAACATCGGGGGGCCTACAACGAGGGGCCTTTGCGATGACGGGCTGTGAGGATGGGGTGGGGGGAGGAATTGGCCACTCCGCCACGGTGAGCGCCCCGAGCCTCCTGCTCACTTGTGGTGAGCTGGGTGAGCTGGGCTGGGGAGAGCTTGTGAGGACCCTGAGAGGAGAAGCGAGAAGGAAACAAAAATGCCATTTCTATATAATTTATATTTTACTTATGCCAAATTATTTATGATGATTAGCCATTGCTATGCTGTACCAGTGTCAAATGCTGCAGCCTGCCAAGCTGTGATTTTTACGAGGCTTGTCCCCATATAGGACACACGGCAGGCCCCTGGCCACCGAAATAGTGTGCAGCGGACTTCAGGCACTGCTGTAAGTCCGCCACGTGCCGTGCCACCCAAAGGTGGCTTTGCCTCAAGCAGCCTTTCTTCGATTGTGGATGACTTCCTTTCTGATGGGGAGAGTCCAGAAGGGATGGAAAATGCCTGGATTTAAGCTCAGCATCCCCCACACGGGCTTTTTGACCATTTTCAGGCCTAAAATGGTCTTTAGGCTGCACGTCCTAAAGTCCCTGTCTTTTTTATCAGCCCTCCTCGTGCTGCTCCTTGCCACCCTGGGCTTCCTGTTGGGGACCCTATGTGCTTGTGGCATGTGTGAGCAGAAGGGAGGGTGAGGAGAAAGAGAAGGAACCCTGGTACTGACAAGCTGTTTTTGAGTGCCACTGTTCGGCATCATCCAAGCTACTGAATCAGCTGTATTTTGGGCTTATTTCAACATGCCAGTGCCATGGTTTTCTTGCTTGAATCTGTCCATGATCAAGGGTTTGGGAGAATTCGGGACCCTGGAACATCCCCAGAGTGAGAGAGAAGACTGGGCCATGTCGGAATAAAGCCTTGGCCTGCTCCTCTCACAGCCCAGGTGCTCTGCAGGCACGCTGACTGTCCCGATTGCGATCCAGCCTGAAATTCCCTCTCCTCTGCCTTCAAAAGTCAAATCCCCACTCTTAGGCCATGCTGGTGTCACAGGCTCCTGTCAGGGAGCTGGGGTTTGGGAATGTGCTTTGTGAACTCTGCTTTAAAGTGAGGGGCCGAAGAGAACTTAGCAACAGGCAGAGTTGGAAGCAGCCAAATCACAGAAGGTGTTGTGTGCATGTGTGTGCGTGTGTGTGCATGTGTGCGCCTGTGTGTGTGCGTGTGTGTGCGTGCGCATGGGTGTGCACACATGAGTGTGCATGTGTGAAAGCAGGTGGACATTCCACTTTTTAGCTCCTATTGATGCACCAAACCAAGTGCCTCCTTTCCGTGCCAAATGTTTGCCTTGATCTTTGTGGACCTCCTTCCTTAACATGCGGTGGCGTGACTGTCAGGAGGTACCGGCATTTTCAGCAGATTCTCACCCGTTGGCCCTGATGTCTTTGGCAGAGGCTTCTGGCATCTTGGTTTTTCATCCACTGCAGGAATGTGGCCACGGGGAGCAGAGGTTTGTGCTTTCCTCAAGAGGCGCCTCATCCTGAGATGGTGTCTACTCACGTTTAACCAAAAGATTGCAGGCCAGTTCCTTTATCAAGGGCACCAGGGAATTTGCTCCAAGCAGATAGCTCCTTCTGAGGAACCTAAGGAAGCAAGCTTCCACACTTTCTGAAGAGCTGGTACAGGAGGTTTCTTTCTTCCTTTTGTGTTACATGTGCATTAAACAGAACAAGATGTGTGTCATCACAGATTGTGCTGTGGGCTCAGAAACCGCGAGAGAGCCCCCACCGTGGACTCTGGCTCTAGGGCCACAGGAAAAGGCACGTTTCCAGGCATTTTGCCTCCAGGGCTCCCACTGGGCAGGCGCATACCGCCCTGGGGAGTAAATGCCCAGAGTTCACGAACTATGCCCAGTGCATGTTATGGCCAGGATCCTACTAACTACTCAGAAAAAGTACGTATTGTATTCCTCCAGTGTTAAGCTATAGCCATGTTAAAAGTCACCGTGCATTTATCCTCAGCATCAAATACCTTGTAACGTCTTCTCTGCCTTACTTGTTAGTGCATATTTTTACTTTTCTGATACTGTAAAGAATATATCCAGTATGTAAATGAATGTTCTATAAATCCTTTGTATAGTCATTTTCTCTGCTCTTTAAATATCATCTCTATTCAGAGTATAATAAAATTATCAACTTGGTAAGCCTCCGTGAGACAAGTATTTGAGTACCCTGAAGTATGTTTGTGTGTGTTTGCACGTGTGTATGTGTGTGCATGTGTGCACTTTTGTGAATGTCTCTGCACATGTGTGCATGTGCTTGCACAGATGTATGTCCGTCCACGTGTCTGTGTGCATCTGCGTGTGTGCTCATGCATGAATGTATGTTCGTGTGTTTACAGATCAGTGGTTTCAGTTATAAATTCACAAATGTTTTGCCTTCAGGAATATATGAAGATTTCTGCCCAGAGACCTTTGAAATGTTATATCCAAAGATCTTTGAAGATTAACCACAATGCACAGTGTTGGTAATGGGTCCTGACATGATTTTGATGTTGCTATGAATACTCCAGCTGCAGGACACACCCCTGAAGTGGGCCAGCCAGAGGGACTTCCCAGTGTCTATTCAGAGTGGGCACTAAAAGTGAATATTGAAACTCTGGTGGTTTCACTTACACATCAACACATGTTGGAGACAGCCATTGTCACCTGCCTCTTCCCTTCCCCAGCCAAGGCTTCTCCCTCCCTTCCTCAAGGGAATTTGCCCCTTTATGCTGACTCTCTGCCCTCTTGGGCCGGTCCCCTCCCTTCTGAGTCAGGTGACAGAGCACAGGACCCCATCTAACCTCATTCCCTCAGATTCAAACCAGAGAAGAAGCAATGCTTTGGGCTTACTTGGTCATGGACAGATAAAGATTTCAATTAGCCGCCATTCCCTGCCACCGTGCAGTTTTCTGCCTGCGTGGTCCGCCCCCAGAGGCTCTAACTTTCCACTCTGAGGAGACAGAGGAAATACTTCACCCCAGCTATGTTGGGAGAGTTGACTTGAAATGGTCCTGGTGTTACTGCTTTAGAGCAAAAGGAGAGCAGGCGGTGGCAGGTCATATCTTGTCCAGCAGGAAGCTCCCAGTGAGTCTTTGGAGCCAGTTGTTGCCCAGACCTTTGACCAGTGTCACACGGTGGAAAGGTGGACAATGATTTCACTGTAGTTTAGGGAGTGTGCTTTCCAAGCACATGGTCCTTGTCACAGTTACTGGGCTCCGTAGGATGTGTGCATGTCCCTAGGTCCCTGACCAGAGCCAGCCCTGGGGACAGTCGGAGAGACCCAGTGGCCGTGAGACCTCAGCTGGACCGGCTCCTGCCACTTGCTGCACGAGGATGTTGTGGGCTCTCCATTCATCTCTCTGCAATGTGTTACCCAATGCGTACCTGGACCTTACCGACTGGGGTCGCCCTTCTATCATGTGATGGGCACCTTGGCCCCACCAGGTGGTGGGGCGTCAGGTCATTGATCTATTGTCTAATGAACAGCTTGGATCTGCCTGCTGGGGAACGGTAGGTCCACAGCTCAGGTGTGCTTCTGTGTCTCTTCCTGTCCTCAGGGAGGTAGGGTAGGCATCACACATGCTATTCTGTGGAACATTCTACATACCAGTTAGATTTTCTCTTGGTTGCTTGTATTGGTCAATTCTTCTGCATTCTTTCTTTCTGTCTAGTCATTTGTCTTAGTCTGTTTGGGCTGCTACAACAAGGATATCACAGAATTATAAAATACAAACTTTTTTTCTCACAGTTATGGAGGCTGAGAATAGCAGAACTATGCATTTTTTTTAAGCACGCCTGGAATACTCGCCAAGATAGATCATGTTCTCAGCCAGGAAAAAAATCTCAACAAATTTATCCAGAGCATGTTCTCTGATCATAATGCAATGAAAGTTAAAATTAATAATAACAAGATCAACAATTTCTCAGTACTTGGAAATTAAACAACACTCTTCTAAATAACCTATGGTTCAAAGAAATCTCAAAAATTTTTAAAAAGATAAAACAGAATGAATTCTATAGAGCATATATCAAAACCCACAGGATGCAGCTACTGTAGTGCTGAGAGGGAAATTTATAGCACTAAATGCTTACGCTAGAAACGAGGAAAGGTCTCACATCCGTAACAGATGTGGCTTGGGTTGGTTTGGAGCAGTGAGTTTCACTGTCTCTCCCTGCCCTCTGCAGCCCAGTTGACTCAGCCCAGAGTACTAGAATCACTGTGATCTTTCGGTGTTGCTTGGTGCCTCAGGCAGACCTATTCTTAAGTACATGTGAGGCACCTCTTGAGGAGGCACTGAAATAATAGCTTGGGCCCACTTTGAAAGAACTGAGTTGAGACTCGGTGGTCTAGGTGCTGTCAGTGGCTACACTCAACAACACAGATGAAGCTCAGAAATAACCACAGGCCAAAAAAGCCAGACCTATCATAGAGTACTTATTATTTAATTTCATTTAGATGGATATCACAATCAGACAAAACTAACTCATGGCAGTAGAACCCAATGTTTGCACTTACCAGGTTAGCTATGGTTTACGTACGTATTCAAGCTTCCCTCTACTGAAGAGAACCCAAGGAATGTCCGACCCAGGAACAAACCAGAGTGGTCACAGGTCAAAGCATCCTTCCTGCCATCCTTCCTGCCATCTGGGCCATTTTCATGATGTTGATTATTCCCAGCCACGAGCATGGAACATTTCTCCATCTGTTTTTGTCCTCTCTTATTTCATTGAGCAGTGGTTTGTAGTTCTCCTTGAGGAGGTCCTTTGCATCCTTTGTTAGTTATATTCCTAGGTATTTTATTCTCTTTGTAGCAATTGTGAATGGGAGTTCACTTTTGATTTGGCTCCCTGTCTGTTATTGGTGTATAGAAATGCCTGTGATTTCTGCACATTGATTTTGTATCCTGAGACTTTGCTGAAGTTGCTTATCAGTTTCAGGAGATTTTCGGCTGAGATGGTGGGTCTTCTAAATAAACAATCATGTCATCTGCAAATAGAGACAATTTGACTTCCTCTCTTCCTATTTGAATACACTTTATTTCTTTTTCTTGCCTGATTGCCTGATCAAAGCTTAAGTCACATGAACCACTCCCGTGTCATGAGTTGATAAGTGTATAAACAGCCTCTCCCCAGTGCCATGGGGGCTGGCTTATGATTAACTTGTTTAGAGCTCCAATGGCAGCTCCACACTGAATGGCTCAAGAAGAGCGCGGTGACCTTAGCTGCCTGGAAACGAACTGTTGAAGGCGGCTGGGTTCTCCCCGACAGGAGGGGTCCAAGTCTCTGCTGATGGGGACGTTTCTTCTCCAGTGCTCACATGGCAGCTGGCCCATCCCGGTTTCACAGATCATGAAGCTCAGGGTAGGAAAAGTTTAGTGATTTGGCTATGGTCGGGAGACAGGCATAGAAAAATATGAAGAATTTGTTCTCCTGTGGTCCGCTTTCCGCCCTGCTTTTCTCTTTGCTTTAATTTCTGTGTATAGAGGCACCCAGCCAACTAGCACAGAACGCAGCGAAAACTCAGCCCACGGGATTCCAGAGCCTGTGTCCTCTGCTGTGGCACGGAGAGGCCTTCTGTGCACACACACCCCCAGTGACCCATTTCTCCCGAGTGGTTCCCTCTTTCTGCCCTTTGCGCTGCATTTTGACAGAAAGATTTGAACTCAGTTTACATTTTCAATGGACTAAGGACAGTAGCAGATGGGAGGGAGCGACTGAGAGCACTGTGGTGCAGTCCTGCCCCCTGGTGGGCAGCACCGCTTACTACAGCAGGCCTTATTTTACTACGTGATTTGCGAAGATCAGGGCTGCATATGTTACTGGCTAGGTTCAAAATGGAAAGCTAGTGAAATGGAAAATTTAGTGGTCAGAAATGTGAATGCTGAAGCCACGTCGCCTGGCTTCAAATCTTGGCTCTGCCCTGTATTCACTCTAGTACAATGACAAGTTACTTAGCTTCTCCCGTTTGTCAAATAGGAAAAGTAATCAGGCTTACATGCCGAGATGGTGGTGAGAATCAGATGCATTAATCTACATTGATTCAAATGATGCCTGGCAAGCACTCCTTACTTAACAATATCTAGACAGAGTTATCTTTTAAAAGTAGTGAATAGGATTTTCTACAGTCCCCATTAAGTCATTTGACAGGATTCGTGGATGTTCAGCATCTCAAACTGTGAA